GCTTGAACCAGGGAGGTGGAGGTTGCAGTGAGCCGAGATCATGCCACTGCACTCCAGCCTGGCAACAGAGTGAGACTCCATCTCAAAAAAATAATAATAAAATAAAATAAAATATAAAAGTTTTATATGTGGGCCAGGAAGAGTGGTTCAGGCCTGTAGTCCCAGTGCTTTGGGAGGCTGAGGCAGGAGGATCTCTTGAGGCCAGGAGTTCAAGACTAGCCTGGGCAACATAGGGAGACCCCATATCTACAAAAATAAAAATTTAAAAATCATCCAGGCACGCACCTGTAGTCCCAGCTACTCTGGAGGCTAAGGTGGGAGGATTGCTTGAGCCCAGGAGTTTGAGGCTGCAGTGAGCTATGATTACACCATTGCACTCCAGCCTGGGCAACAGAGCGACACCCTGTCCCCCCAAAAAAGTTTCATTTCCTTTACACTGAGCATGCATTCTGCTATGGAGGTCTGATTTATTCTATTCCATTAAAAAAAAAAAAAAAAATGCTGGTTGCCACCGAGGATTTTTTTGTTTCTTTCTTTTCAGAGTGATTTTGTTTCTGAGACCACCGAGAATTTTGATGTCACCTCTGCTAATGGCTGGGTGCTCACAGTTTGAAAAGCTCTAGGGAACCCTCTGTTACTCCGTAGACAAGCCCCACCCCATCCCCACCCTGGCTCAGAGATGCCTGGCAGGGCTAAGTCCTGTTGTGCAATTATTCCACTCCTGGCTGCTTTCCTTGAACCCCCAAGACTCCCAGAGGGGCAGGGAAAGCGTCTCACTTGCTTCCTGCTGCGCCCCCAGCTCCTGGCTCAGGGCCTGCTTAATCACATAGTGGGCGCTTAATAAACGTTTGTTGAATGAATACATGAACAACAAGCGAGCTGGGGCCAGAGTCAGGACTGCAGCCCCGCCTGTGCGGCTCTCTAGGATAATTCTGCCCACATCACTTCCAAAGACCCAGGCAGCGGACCCTCCCTCGGCCCCTGCGACCCGCATCCAGCCGCTGCTTAACTTGAGCCTCCTTGCTGGGTCGGCCAGGACTACATTTCCTACAAGTCTCAGGGGCAGGACTACACCTCCCATAAGCCTCTGCTTCCGCCAGGTTCTGTGCCCTTCAGCCACCAGGGCAGCGAATTGCGTCTTTTCTCACTCCCCGCCCCGCAATTCCATCCCCTCCACCCTGCAGCCCCGGCCGTGCGCCCCCTCCCTCCCGCGATGAACCTGCCTCAGTTTCTCCAAGACACCCCGAGGGCAGCCCCTTTTCCCTTCCCCGGAGCCCCGCGATGAGGAGGGCTGCGCTCTGCCGGGAGTGTGCAGTGCCCAGCCGGTGTGCGCCACGGCTGCGCGTTTTGGTGGAAAGCCCTGGGCCCCTACTGGGGGTTGGAGGTGGGGGGGGGGCTGGGTCGCCTGCGCCGAGTGTTGCTGAGGCTGCGTCTTGGGTGCGCAGCTCCGGCCCAGCCTCACCCAGGGGGACGCCTCGCAGGTGCTCACGGACGATGGAGAGGTCCGCGCCCAGGGTGGGAGTCCGCGCTTCCGGGTGTGTCTGCAGCTCGGGGCGCTGGAGGGTGGGATGTGACCCCCAGACGGCGGCGGCCTGGCACGTGATGTATGTGTGTCCTTGTCTGATGTGTCGGTGTCCCCGATGGACCGGGTTCCAGTCCCAGCTTTGCCACTCCCGGGCTTGTGTGCCTTGGGGCAGGTGACTGCCCCGCGCTGTGCCTCAGTTGCCTCATCTGTACAATGGGCATGATTTAAAAATACCTATCTCAGAGGGCGGTGGTGAGGATTGAAAGGTAATTCTGTACGTGTAAAACGCTGCGGACGATACCTGGCACAGACTAAATGCTCATAAGAATAAATATATTAAATAAACTATGATCATGTATCTTTTGTATGAGGCAAGTGCTTGTGGTTGTGTAATGTCTGCGTAACCTCACGGGAAACGTGGGTATTTGCGATCCATGTGTCTGTGCGTGTCTGTGTTGTGGGTGTGTGAGTCTTTGTATGTTATGTGTGCCCGTGTGTTTATGTATGTGATGTGTGACTGTGGTGGGGTTCTGTGTCTTTGTAACCTTGTGTGAAAGGTTATTTGTGTATTTGTGTTGTGTGTGTCCATGGCTGTTTAGGTGTGTGCCCACGTCTGTGCTTATGTATAACGTGTGACTGCATATGTGCATGTTATGTGTCTGTATCAGTGTGTGATGTTTATGAGCTATTTTTGCAAGTGATTTATGTAGCCCTGTATGTATGAGTTGTGTGTGCCCATATGCATGTGTATGTAATATGTCTGGTGTATTTATGTGAGTGAAGCATGTGTCCATGTGAGGCATGTTACGTGTCCTTGTACATGCATGTGTTATGTGTGTTTCTGTGTTCTCATGTATGTGCTGTGCCTGTCTGTGTAGCGGCTGTGTCTGTGTCTATGTTAGTTTATGTGATGTGTGTCTGCGTGACATGCATGTATGTGATATTTGCATCTGTGGGTGTTCTTTGTTGCCCATGTGTCTAGGGACTGTCTGCGTGGCTGTGACTGTGAGTGTCAGCATGTCACGGTGGTGTCCGTGGGGATCTTTGTCTGTGTCGTGTGCATCTGTGGATGTGGGGCTTTACTTTGTCTGGGGCATGTGTGGGTCTTTGTGATGCTTTGACGTTCCTGCGTGGCCGGGTGCATCTGTGCTGGAAGCGGGCCTGCCTGTGCGTTTCCAGTGCGGCCGTCCCTGCGTCTTTGTGTGTGACGTGTACGTGTCCCCGTCTGCTGATGGCTGTCCACCTTTGTATGTGATGCGCTTGTCTGTGAGGGTCCCTGCGACGTGTGTCAGCTGTGTGTGGGCTGCGCGTGCCTGACAGCTGCATCTTAGCGTGTAGCACATGTGTCCATGCTGGTGGCATGTCACAGCGGTGTCCGGGCCAGGCACCCGTGGGCCCTGCCCCCCCACCCCCCCGCAAGTGTGTGCTGGTCCCTGTCTATCCCTCCCCCTCCCCTTTCCTCCCCTCCCTCCTGGCAGCCAATGCTACGGGGGAGCCAGTTGCCATGACGACGCTCCATCCTCCCTCCTCCCACCCTTCCTGTGACAGGCTCTCTGCTCCCCCAATCCCGGCTGCCCTCGGGGGCGGGGCCCTCTTTCTCGCCCCCCCCAATCCTACCCTCTCCCCCCCCACCCCAGCAACCCCGGCTCCCCAGCTCCTCTCCTCTGTCCGCCTCTCCATCCCTTCATCCGTCTGTCCCTTCAAAGAGGGGGAGGGGGGTACCTGAGCCAGCAAGCAGCCCCTCCCTCCCCCTGTCCTGCGTCTCCAGCCCCTCTCCTGGGCCGGGAGGAGGCCAGGGTCGCGCGGGTCCCCATGGCTGGGGGCTGAGGGCCCGCCCCCCCCTCCTCCCCAGCCGCCACCACCTCCACCTCCCTGCCATCCTCGACAAGATGCCTGCCCCCGGCGCCCTCATCCTCCTTGCGGCCGTCTCCGCCTCCGGCTGCCTGGCGTCCCCGGCCCACCCCGGTGAGTCTGTCGGGCCATCAGTCTGTCCGGCGGCCCCCACCCCCGCGGCGGCCTCGCTGTCTGCCCAGGGGTCTGTCTGCGGGTCCTGGCCCGTCACCTGGTGCGCGTCTTCCCGCAAGCCAGCCGGGCCCGGAGCGGCGGGGACGGTGCCTCTGTCAGCAGGGCCTGTGGGAGGGAGGCTGGGGGCTGGGTGGGGAGGGGGCTCCGTTTGAGCAACGTGTGTGTATGCGTCCACGCATGTGTTTGTGCAGGTGTGTGCAGGAAGCCGGGGACGGACAGGGCCTCTGGGAGAATTGGGGGCAGAGGACAGGAATACTATTTCTAAGGGGGACACAACACGGGAGGCTGTCTCTGGCTTCTGGAGAGACCCCGGGCTTGCGGAGTTCCCTTCTCGCGGTCTTGTGCTGGGGATAGAGGACATCGGTGTGCGCCAAGCGTCCCTAAAAATGACAGATCTCAACCCCACAAACTGGGAGCTTCCAGCATGGGGCAAGAATCTTCTCTCAGCCTGCAGCTGAGAGCTCGTTCTCCTCCCCAGTGAGGGGTAATGGGGCTGTCCATGGGAGCGTATTTTAAATTCTGCAAGCTCCAAGCTTCACTGTTACTCCTCCTTCCCTCAGCCCTCACTGGAATTCATCCAAGCCTGGGGTGAGAGGATGGGGTGGGATGAGGTGGCGGGGGGGGGGTCCCAGTTTGGGACGAGGAGACCCCACCCCCAATCCAACCACTTGGGAAGGCCCCAAACTACAACTCCCACAATGCCGTGGGCCACTCTGCACCTCTGCTCAGGGGCCCCTGGTCTTAGAGCATCATGGGAGTTGTAGTCCAAGACGTGCTGGGACGGCAGGGGGCCATGATTCCAGGATCTAGGGACTTGAAGCTGGGAACCCAGCCCAGCCCTGTGCCCACAGATGGATTCGCCCTGGGTCGGGCTCCTCTGGCTCCTCCCTACGCTGTGGTCCTCATTTCCTGCTCAGGCCTGCTGGCCTTCATCTTCCTCCTCCTCACCTGTCTGTGCTGCAAACGGGGCGATGTCGGCTTCAAGGTGAGGTGCATGAGGGGTTTCAACTTGGACAGGAAGACTCCAACAAGGCCTTTACCCCCAAGCCAGGTGGTTAGTGGGGAGAGGGGGGCAGTCAACCTGACAGCACCTTCTAGCTTGAAGCTACGGCAAGATCTGGAGCCTTGGGTTGGAGAAATGGGGGATGGAAGTTGGGCCAGGACTGGGGGACAGGTACGAGAATGAAGTGGGAAACAAACTTAAGAGAAAGACGATGGCATGTCTCAGCCCTGCGTTCTCCCACCCCTCCTCGTCCCTCCTCGTCCCTCCTGGCCCCAGGAGTTTGAGAACCCTGAAGGGGAGGACTGCTCCGGAGAGTACACGCCCCCGGCGGAGGAGACTTCCTCCTCACAGTCGCTGCCTGATGTCTACATTCTCCCGCTGGCTGAGGTTTCCCTGCCAATGCCTGCCCCGCAGCCTTCACATTCAGGTACTGCCCCACGCCATTACCGGAATGCCATGGTGTCCCAGGAAAGGCCAGAAGATGTTGAGTGTCTTCCTTCAGGGCTGGGGCGGCTGAGAGCAGGGATGGCCAACGGGATAGGTAGAGGTGGGAGTCCCAGAATCTCGGAAGCAGCCTATGGGGAGGCAGACAGAGATCATCTTGGTAGAAGCCCTTGCTTAATCCAAAACCAGATTTGGGGATTCTTGTCGGGCAAGCACTGGTGAGATTAGCATAGAGCACAGTCTCAGAGGCAGCCAATGGGAGGCTGAAATCACATCGTAGGAGCTTGGGATGCCAAAGAGGAGGACTGATTGGATGCTGGAGACTTGTGAGCAGCCAATGAGGAAGCTGGTATTCTGACATGGAATGTGGGTGGCAGCCAATGAAAAGACAGTGATGTCTGCTCTGACCCCAGTCCCCACTGACTTGGGATGTGTTGGTGGCACTCAGGAAGGGGGAGAGGCTCAGGGACTTCCCACTCTTGCCCTCCCCAGACATGACCACCCCCCTGGGCCTTAGCCGCCAGCATCTCAGCTACCTGCAGGAGATTGGGAGTGGCTGGTTTGGGAAGGTGAGTGGGCTGGGGAGGTGAGGCAGGGCTCCATGGATCCCGGGTTTTCCTGTTCTGTGTCCACACCCCTGCTCTCACCACTTCTCATCTGTCCCTCGCCTGCTCCCCGTGCCCCCTCAGCCTGCCATCCCCGCTCCCATCCGCCCTATCCCGACATCTGTCAGTCAGCGCCTCCCTCCTCACTCCATTGACCACTCCGCCGCGCCACCCGGCTCTCCACGCGTCCGTCCGTCTGTCCATCCTTCCATCCGTCCCTGCGTCCATCGGACTCTGGGCCCGTGAGTGTCTCACCCCATGTCTGGTGGGGGTCGAGGGTGGGGGGATGTGAAGAAACAATCTAGAAAGGAGCCGGGGGTGGGGAGCTGTGAGGTGGAGTGGAGCTAGTTCCAGGGGACGGGGCTGGGGAAAGGGCACTCGCTGACTCCTGGGCACTCCTTGACCAGGTGATCCTGGGAGAGATTTTCTCCGACTACACCCCCGCCCAGGTGGTGGTGAAAGAGCTCCGAGCCAGCGCGGGGCCCCTGGAGCAACGCAAGTTCATCTCAGAGGCACAGCCGTACAGGTACTGGGGACTTCTAAGGGGGTGTGCGCCTTGTCCAGGTGACATCCAGGAGTGGAAGGAGCGCTGTATGGGGTCAAACCTGGAATCTACCTCTTCCCAGCTGTGCAGCTCTGGCAGGAGAACTTCCCTCCCTGAACCTCAGGTTCTTCCTCTGGGCCGAGCAAGGGGCGGGAAGTGAGAGGCAGGATGGTGGAGGAGCGGGGAGCACAGAAGCTGAGCTAGAGGCCTGCTCCTCTCCACTCTGAACCTCCAGACCTTCATCTGCAAAGTCAGTCCAGGAAGCCCTAGTATCCTCCTGAAAGGGGCAGCTGAGAGGATGTGAGATCCCCGTGTTCAGTGCTGGGTACCGGCTGGTTCTTCCCTTTCCCAGGACACAGACCAGGTCCCCGAGCAGGTGTGCATGCAGGCCACTGAGGAGCTCCGTCCCTGCTCTGCCTGGTCTGCTCTCCACTCTAATTGCTTCTAGGATGGGGTCTAGGTAAACATGTGCCAGATAAATTCCTTGTGAGGTAATGAGTTCCCTGTTTTGGAAAGGGTGTGTTCGCAGAGACCCCCTTATCAGAACAGTTGTAAAGGCGGGCTTTACCTTGAGAGATACATTGGATGTTGGCAATCCCTTGCTCCAAACCCTCCCACGGCTCCCCACTGCCTACAGGACACATCTGCTCTTCCTGACAGCCCACAGGCCCTGCACGGTCTGACGCTGTCCCCTTCCTGCCACTGTCCCCCTCACCCCAGCCACCCTGGCCTCCTCACTGACCCTCACCACGGAAGCCTCTTCCCTGCCTAGTGCCTTGGTCCTTGCTACATCCTCTCTCTAGGCCAGGCGTCCCCAAACTTTTTTTTTTTTTTTTGAGACGGAGTTTCGCTCTCGTTACCCGGGCTGGAGTGCAATGGCACGATCTCGGCTCACCGCAACCTCCGCCTCCTGGGTTCAGGCAATTCTCCTGCCTCAGCCTCCTGAGTAGCTGGGATTACAGGCACGCGCCACCATGCCCAGCTAATTTTTTGTATTTTTAGTAGAGACGGGGTTTCACCATGTTGACCAGGTTGGTCTCGATCTCTCGACCTTGTGATCCACCCGCCTCGGCCTCCCAAAGTGCTGGGATTACAGGCTTGAGCCACCGCGCCCGGCCCCGGCCCCAGACTTTTTACACAGGGGGCCAGTTCACTGTCCCTCAGACCGTTGGAGGGCCGCCACATACTGTGCTCCTCTCACTGACCACCAGTGAAAGAGGTGCCCCTCCCTGAAATGCAGCGGAGGAGTGGGGGGGCGGATAAATGGCCTCAGGGGGCCGCATGCGGCCCATGGGCCGTAGTTTGGGGAGCCCGCTCTAGAATATCGCTCCTTGCTCACCCCCAGCTGTGAATGGGGCCCCTTTCGTTCCTCAGGTCTCAGCTCACAGAGACCTTCCCTTAATCCTCCCCTCCTTCCAAAGAGGGTCCTGGGATGCTCCGCCACATCACGGCGTGTGTTTTCTTCATAACCCGTATCCCAGGTTGTCACTATATTATCTTCTTATTTGCTTATTGCTTATCTCTCCCTAGACCTGTGCTGGCAACCACTGGCCACTTATGTCAATCAGATTTAAGCTAAGATGGGCACAGTGGTGTGTGCCTGTAGTCCCACCACTTCAGGAGGCCAAAGTGGGAAGATCGCTTGAGGCCAGAACCTGGAGGCTGCAGTGAGCTATGATTGCACCACTGCATTCCCCCGGGCGACAGAGCGAGATCCTGTCTCTATATAAATAAATAAATAAAATTTAAGCTAATTAAAATGCAATTACATTTAAAATCCTCATCATATCTCAAGTGCTCGATAGCCACCTGTAGCCAGTAGCTCCCTGATAGGCAGGCCGGGTCTAGAACATTTCCACCTTTGCAAAGTTCTGTTGGACGGTGCAGGTCTATACCAACGGCAGCTCAGGGTCCGTCTCATTTCCCGAGCACAAGTTCTGTTGGCTCTCAGCAGACATTTGCTGATGGAGCCACAGACCTGATATCAAATTCCAATGTTGCCATCTTTACCAGCTGTGTGACCCTAGGCAAGTCACTTAGCCTCTCTGAGCCTCTGTTTCCATCTGGATCAAATAGGGATCATCATCCTGCCTAGCCGGTTGCTGGGAGGATTTGACAGCAGAGCAGCCAGCCTTGGCCAGATTCGTGGGTGGTGTGCAGTGAATCCTGGCTTCTTTCTGCACCAGCCATCCGAGTCTCCCATGCTAGGAGCTCCAGCTGCTGTTCAAGGCCCACACATGGCAGGAGCCTTATGAACACTTTTTCGGGCCAGGTGTGGTGGCTCTCGCCTGTAATCCCAGCACTCTGGGAGGCTGAGGCAGGCAGATCATGAGGTCAGGAGTTCAAGACCAGCCTGGCCAACATGGTGAAACCCCGTCTCCACTAAAAATGCAAACATTAGCCAGGTGTGGTGGTGGGCACTTGTAATCCCGTCTACTCACGAGGTTGAAGCAGGGGAATCATTTGACCCCCGGAGGCGGAGGTTGCAGTGAGCTAAGATTGTGCCATTGCTCTCCGGCCTGGGAGACAGAGCAAGAAAACAACACTTTGTGGCATGATTCTTCTGCCAAGCAGGAGCAAGAGACCCTGTTCTCCTGAGAAGGACACACAGCGTAACAGCAGAGCCTGGTTACACACAGACAGTAGACAGCTGAGTACTGGGCAGTGACCTCACACCACACACCTGACTCTGCCTCCCTCCAGGCCCCCAGTAGGAAAATAACTAGTAAGTTCCCGTGCACCCACTCCTGGCCGGACTCTGAACTGCAAGCCTGAAACGTTCTCACCCTCCTGCAGACCTCCAAATGTTCTCACCCTCCTGAAGACCTCCAGTTCTTCTCTCTGCATGTGTTTATTGAGCATCTATTAGTCTAGGCACCCGGGACATCAGGCAGGAAGAAGACACACCAAATTCTCATCCTAGGAGAGCTCACCCCCTAGTGGAGAAGACACACAATAGATAAATGAAGAAAAAAAATTTTTTTTTTCCAAGGCTTACTGCAGCCTTGACCTCCTGAGCTCCTGATCTTCCTGCCTCAGCTGCCTACGTAGCCACTCTGACTGGCTAATTTTTCTTTTTATTTATTTATCTATTTTTTTTTCAGATGAAGTCTTGCTCTGTCACCCAGGCTGGAGTGAACTGGCACAATCTTGGCTCACTGCAGCTTCTGCCTCCCGGGTTCAAGGGATCCTCCTACCTCAGCCTTCCAAGTAGCTGGGATTACAGGCGCGTGCTACCATGCCTGGCTAATTTTTTTGTATTTTTAGTAGCGATGGGATTTCACCATGGTGGCCAGGCTGGTCTCGAACTCCTGATCTCGTGATCCACCCATCTTAGCTTCCCAGTGTTGGGATTACAAGTGTGAGCCACTGCGCCCAGCCTGACAATTTTTTTTTTTTTTTTTAAATTGTAGAGATGGATTCTCACTGCGTTGCACTGGCTGGTCTCAAACTTCTAGGCTCCAGTGATCCTCCCACCTCAGCCTCCTAGAGTGCTGGCATTTCAGGCGAGAGCCACCATGCCAAAGCCAGAAATGCATCTTAAAAAGAGAAACTGTCAGAGAATGATAAGTACCATGAGGAAATGAGGCAGTAGGTGGCAAAGATAAGGGCCACCTTGGACAGGACCATGAGGGAGGCCGGGTTGACCTGGAGGAGTCAGCCATGCAAAGCACTGTGGGAAGTGCGTTCCAGGCAGCAGGAACAGCAGGTGCAAAGGTTGTGAGACAAGCAGCAGCTCATGGAGAGTGAGCAGCCCTGGAAATGCAGTTTGAATGCAGGGTGAAGGCCAGGCTCAGTGGCTCATGCCTGTACTCCCAGCACTTTTGGAGGCTGAGGCCCGGGGATCACTTGAGGTCAGGAGCTTGAGACCACCGTGGCCAACATGGCAAAACCCCAGTCTTTACTAAAAAATACAAAAATTAGCCAGGTGGCAGGGCGTGATGGCTCAAGCCTGTAATACCAGCACTTTGGGAGGCCAAGGCAGGCAGATCACCTGAGGTCAGGAGTTCTAGACCAGCCTGATCAATACGGTGAAACCCTGTCTTGACTAAAAATATAAAAATTAGTCAAGTGTGGTGGTGGGTGCCTGTAGTCCCAGCTACTCGGTTTCCCTGTTATAGATGAGGGAAACCGAGGCAGGGAGTATAGAAGTGATTTGCCTGAGATGACATACCTAGGAAAGTGGGAGTTAGGGTTCAAACCCCTGAGCCTGACTCTTTCCCACAGCGTGAGGGTAAAGCAGGGGCATCCAGCCCAGCACTGGGGGCAGCAAAGCTTCCTGGGGAGATGTTGATGCAGAGGCCCGGGGTGGGGGGCAAGAGAACTCGATGAGAGGGCATTCTGCAGACTGGGCACAGCGGCTCACGCTTGTAATCCGAGCTTTGGGAGGCCAAGGTGGGCGAATCGCCAGAGGTCAGGAGTTCGAGACCAGGGGGTAACATGGAGAAACCCCATCTCTACTAAAAATACAAAAATTAGCCGGGTATGGTGGTAGGCACCTGTAATTCCAGCTGCTTGGGAGGCTGAGGCAGGAGAATTGCTTGAACCTGGGAGGTGGAGGTTGCAGTGAGCTGAGATTGCACCATTGCACTCCAGCCTGAGTGACAAGAGCAAAACTCCATCTCAAAATTTAAAAAAAAAAAAAAATTTTTAAAGGAAAGAAAAGAAAGAAAAAAGAGAGAGGGAACTGTAGGTGCAAAGGCCTGGGCCTAAGCAAGGGCCTGCAGGTTGGGAAAACCCACATGGGCTGAAGCTGACCCCCGGCCCAGCCCAAGGGGCAGGAGGGATCAAAGTGCCGTTGCTCTGTCCTGGGGTGCTGGGGAGCCACAGAGGGTAGTGTGCAGTGAAAAGCAGGTCAGGGGCAAAGGGAAGGAGGGAGGCTGGAGCCAAGGAGGCCAGGAGGAGGCTGGGGAGAGGAAGAGGAGGAGACTGAGGAATGAAGATGGAGGTGAAGCATAAGGAGAAAGGAGAGGTACAGAGGTACCTGGGTATCTGGCCCAAGGAGCAGGCCAGTGAGGGCCATCCAGACAGAGATGGGGGCAAAAGAGCAAGACTCCATCTCAAAAAAATAAATAAGTAAATAAAAAATAAAAGGAGTGGAGAAGGAGTGGGGTGTGGTCAACGAGAGAGACACTGAGGTGAGGAGACTGAGATCCAAAAGGTCAAGTGGTGTGGTGGCTCACAACTGTAATCCCCGCACTCCGGGGGCCGAGGAGGGCGCACTGCTTCAGGTCAGAAATTCCAGACCAGCCTGGCCAACATGGAGAAACCCCGTCTCTACTAAAAATACAAAAAGTAGCCGGGTGTAGTAGCACGTGCCTGTAATCCTGGCTACTCGGGAGGCTGAGGCAGGGCTCCCGCCTGGGTGACAGAGTCTCCATATAAAAAATCCAAAACAATACAAAAGGGTGGAGGCAGCAGTTTGGTTCAGCTGGGAGACTGGGTCGGCATGAAGAGGAAGGGGCAGCCCCCCTACCCTCACCCATCACATCCTCACTCCGCAGGAGCCTGCAGCATCCCAATGTACTTCAGTGCCTGGGTCTGTGCGTGGAGACGCTGCCGTTTCTGCTGATTATGGAGTTCTGTCAACTGGTGAGGGTCTTGGGTGGTTGGGGAAGAGCAGTGGGGTGGGGGGGAGCTGGACGGGGCGGGGCCAAGCCTGGTGCCCTTGGACTTTGTGGTCAGCAGCATCATCATCATTGTAGATGATGCGTGGCATGTGCATTTCTTGAGTGCTGACTGTCCTCGGGGCTGCCCTGAACAAGCAGGCGAGATGGACTCATTACCTGCTTCAAGCAGCAGGGGAATCTGAGGCTCAGAGGGGCCACCTAGTGACAGCAGAGGCCACGCCATCCTTGGGGCAGATTCAGTGGAGGTGTGAGGGGGCTAGTGGTGCTGACCTTCCTTGCCTCCCTCCCAGGGGGACCTGAAGCGTTACCTCCGAGCCCAGCGGCCCCCTGAGGGCCTGTCCCCTGAGCTACCCCCTCGAGACTTGCGGACGCTGCAGAGGATGGGCCTGGAGATCGCCCGCGGGCTAGCGCACCTGCACTCCCACAACTACGTGCACAGGTGGGAGGGCCGGGGAGCCGCGGGAGGAGCTACTAATGGGAAGTGGGAAGGACTGGAGGCTGCAGAGCAGGGGTTAAAGTGGGGGGCGGACCCATGACTGGCTGACACAAAATAGGAATGAACCAAGGAGGGTCTGGAAAAGGAAGGGCCAGGAGAGGAGGGGCGGGGGGGGCGGAAATGGGAAGAGCCAAGTGAGAGGGAGGCAGGGTCAGGTGATGAGGGGAGGGGCCAGGAGAGGAGGAGGAGGAGGAACCAGGGGAGGGGAAAGGGTCAGGAGAAAAGGGGAGCCAGGAGAGGAAGAGGGACCAGGAAATAAGGAGGAGCCAGAGGAGGGTGAGGGGTCAGAAGAGGAGAAACCAGGGGAGGGGGAAGGTTCAGGAGAGAAGGAGGGGCAGGAGATGAGGAGGAGCCAGAGGAAGAGGAAGAGTCAGGGGAGGGGGAGGGGCCAAAAGAGGAGGAGGGGCCAGGAGAGGAATGGAAGGACCCAGGTGAGGGGGATGCAGGGTCAGGTGGTGAGTTGAGGGGCAGGGAACGGGAGGGGGAGGAGTCGACAGAGAAGGGTCGGATGAAGAAAATGAGGAGCCAGGGCAGAGGAAAAGGAGAGGAGGCTTGGAGGAACCAGAGGAGGGGAGAAGACAAGACAGCGGGGTAGAATGAAAGCAGTCAGTGAAGGGGCGGGGCCAGAGCGAAGGGGCGGAGTCAGAGACATGGGCATAGTGGGTGTCGTGGGGCGGGGTCACGTGAGGGGCGGAGTCACATGGAAGCGGCAATGTCAGGGACCGCGTAGGAGGGCTGTCCATGCGCCCACCTCCTCGCGTTCTTCCCGCAGCGACCTGGCCCTGCGCAACTGCCTGCTGACCTCGGACCTGACCGTGCGCATCGGAGACTATGGGCTCGCCCACAGCAACTACAAAGTAGGGCTGCCCTCCGTCGGGATGGGGGCTGTGGGGTGCCCTGACCTGCCTGACCCTGCCCTGTCTTCCCCAGGAGGACTACTACCTGACCCCAGAGCGCCTGTGGATCCCGCTGCGCTGGGCGGCGCCCGAGCTCCTCGGGGAGCTTCATGGGACCTTCATGGTGGTGGACCAGAGCCGTGAGAGCAACATCTGGTGAGAACCCTGGGCCACGGGGTCGAGGCAGGCAAGGAAGATGGAAGGGTTCCTAGATGCCACCGCTTCTACAGACGGAGAAACTGAGGCCGAGGCGGGTCAGGGCTGGGCTATGACATCTCTGCTCTCCACAGGTCCCTGGGGGTGACCCTGTGGGAGCTGTTTGAGTTTGGGGCCCAGCCTTACCGCCACCTGTCAGACGAGGAGGTCCTCGCCTTCGTGGTCCGCCAGCAGCATGTGAAGCTGGCCCGGCCGAGGCTCAAGCTGCCCTACGCAGACTACTGGTGAGGGCTGGCCCATCCGGGGCTCTGGGCCTGCCGCACCCCACCCAAGATGGTCCCACACCCCCACCTCATTTCCCACAGCACCCACATCCTGTTTGCTCTCCATACCCCTCAAGAAAGAAGTGGGGATGTCCCCATCCTCTCTGCCAACATCTGCTACTTGGAGAGGGACACAGGCAGGGGGTGGTGGAGCTGTGATCTGAACCCGCTTCACCCTAAGAGATCCCTGCTTACCTGATTCCAGAACTCATAGCCCAAACGAGGACACCACACGCACCAGCTGTTCCCCACATCTGCTGCTGTGTCCCCTCTCCCTCCAGTACCCTGTCACCCACTCTCTATGGGCATCTTCCCCCCACCCCTGCTTCTCTGGGGTCTTAATACCCAACCCCCCAGCCCAGTTACCTCCTCTGAATCTCTGCCCTCTTCTGCCCCCCTTCTTCCTGGAGCTCTGCCCCACTTCTTGGGTCTCTG